AAGTTTCATGTGAACTCGAGGATGGCCCACTAAGAGTGTTTCCAAGTGCGAACGAGTGCCACAGGCCCAATGTGATGAGAATACTATTGATTAAAAAGGTCAAGGCGTATATGGAAATTTCTAGCACAAAGTATTTTTTAGTGCGTAACACGTAAAGTATTTTTTTATATATATTAATATCCTAAAATATATTTTTAGGTATGTCCATAACCTAAAAATATTTTTTGATATATTCAACGCTAAGACAAAAAATATTTGAGAATGTTAAATGCATTTCAAAATATTTTGACGGTTGGATGTACATGCGAAAATATTTTAGTGTGCTACTTAATCTTTAATTAAAACCTAAATGATAATAATAAACCTAGTATCACAGGAAAGTATTTTAAAAAGATTGTGTTATATTTATCAAAATTAATTAATTTAGTTAGCTTTCGTATTCTAATTCAAATTAATTAAGTAATTCTCACATTAAAAATTAAAAAAGTATTTTTTTATTTTATTTATAAGTCACTTTTAACATGTTTTATATAAATTAAAAAAAATTAAATTTTATTAACTCTCATTTAAAATTCAATAACTTTTCAACTTTATACTTATGTAATATATATTATACCTCATATAAATAAAATTAACACAATAATAAATAAAGTAATAAAATTATACATCCATATAAAAAAAATTTTCTCAGTATCCTATAAATAGAATTAAAAAATTTCTTTTCTTTTTATCATGTAAACAGGATCAGGTCGGCCAAAAAAAATAATTAACAATATTGCAAGTGACAATCGGAACTGTGCAAGTGGGAAAAATTTACCGGTGTGACCTACGCATCCCTTCAATTGATTTGGAAGATTGGATGCGATTCCTCTTCTGAGGATGAGGCAATCGCCAATTGATGCTCCTCTGGTGTAGAATTCGGACTACCCGGTTAGCGTTTGTGGGCGGAAACCACACCGCCGCTAGGTTTTGCACTCGCTATTGAGTTTCCCTTTCGAATCCTTTTGTAGGCCTTTTCTTCCACCTTATAGCAATCATCATCTCTTTTCTGCATCTCGGTTGTCCTCGTATTGGTCCACTGTCGAAAGGGCTTCGCTCGGCGGTTAATGGTTTAAGGGAGCACTATGGATTTAGGTCGCGGGTTTATTGAATCCGCGAACAAAAGTAATGTGAAACACTTGAACGGCGGTGGAATTGCTTTAATTCCGATACTGCTGTGGGAGTTATGATTCCTGCTGCACTGGTCTTCTTCATTTTGTCTCGGACAAATCTTATGGCTATGGTTCTCGTCGCGGTGCCTTTTTTGGTGTCCATCCTCAAGGAGGGATTTTCATCAGGTTCACACCATTTAATTTATTCCAGAATTGAGACCGCCACAGCTGGTTTAGTCCATGCCCAAATGCTGAATTCGCTTCCGCATGATTTGGCCGACGAAGGCCTTTTCTCAGAAAGGACAATAAGGGTGCGTTTGGTGCGAGGGATTTGGAAGGGAGGGACAAAGAAGAATTTTAATCATTTCATCTTGTTCAGTAACACACAGATTTTAAAGGGGGAGGAAAAAAAATTTTTAGAAGGATTTGAAGGGAAGGGTAATATTTTGTCTGTAACTATTACGTCAATATTTATTTTTAATATCTTTATATTATCCTAAATCTTTTTATTTTTGTCTTCAAACACTGTTCTCTCTTTTATATATAAATATAAAATTTGAAAAGATAAGATGGATAATTTAATGAATAAATTTTGAGGATTTAAATTTTGACATATATAATTATATGTCAAAATTTAAATCCTTGGAGCTTTATACCCATAAAAATTAAAAATAGATGAATATTACTTGAACTCTTTTCCAATAATATTTCATATTTTAGAGTATATTAGAATTTTGATATAAGTATTACTCAATATATTAAATGTTATTTACAATTCTATTTTATTAAACATTCTATAAAATTTGAAAAAATAATTTTAAATAAAATAAGAGTAAAATTATCTATGTCAAAATATGTTTCCCTTCCTTCTCTTCATGAACCAAACAAGGTAATATTAAAACTCCTCCCCTCTTTTTTTTTTTTATAAATTCAAACAAGGTAATATTAAAATTCTTCTACTTTCCTCCTCCTCTCCTGGCCTCCATTAAAATCCCGTCATTCCCCTTCTTCTCATTGAGCCAAACAGACCTTATTATGAACGCATGCGACGGCTTTGAGGGTGTTATTATTTTTACACTATGTTTGGCACGGGTTTTCGGAGGGGAGCAGAGGAAAATTGTTCTCCTCCCCTTATTTGGCTGGTGCAATTTTTAAAAAGGAGGGAAGTTTGGTTAAGATATTTTTTAAAAAAGAGAAGAGTTCTTCTCCCTCCTCTTCCCTTCTAGCCTCCCCTCTAAAAATGAGATTTTTTAGAGGGGGATGAGAGATAAAATTTTAAGTTTTAAAATTAGCCTAACTAAAATACTTTAATTCTTTATATACCCTTTCGATTTGTTAACCCCTAATCAGTCGTAAACATTTCTACGTAAGAGAGTTCTTTTGAACATCTAGCAAGAGGTTGTCAAGATAGTTGTCTCCAAAATTAGTGGGTATTGTTAAACTTTTTCTTCTCTTTATCTAATTCCAAGAGACTGTCGGTATTTTCTCTCACCTTCAAGATTTTTTTTCTGATTAAAATCTATCACTTACGACTTTTTATCTTGATATCCTATAAGTGTGTGACTGTGTCTTGTAAGTCAAAATTAGTGAATTGCATTATATATATAATTACATCTTAATAAAATAAAAAAGTAAAAAAAATCATTTAAATTTTATGAGGTTAAAATAGTCAATTTTTTATTAGAACAAAATAATATATTGTTAAAATTGCTCCCTCTCCTCTCTTCCAATCAATCCAAACATGAGATCAAAATCTCTCTCTCCCTTTCCCTTTCCTCCTTTTTGTAGTTACCCTGTATCTTTTTTTTTCTTTTCCTTGATTAAAATCCCTCTCCTCCATTCTTCTGTTGAACCAAACACGGTGCTGTGGATTTGACGAGGTTATGGATTCTGATTCACAGACACAAAGCTCATTTTCAGACGAGTCGTGTGATTTCGTGTTCGCATCCAGCTCTAGAGACGTGAAATTTGTGGATCGCATTCTGAGAACTGATGGCATTCTGGCTTTTCCGTTACGTCTTAACCCATCAATTTCTTTCAAACAACAATCTAATTACAGAGTAGGGTATCTTTGACAATACAGTTACATAATCGTTACGTTAAAGAAACTAAAACTGATAATCAAATGATTGGATCCTCAACTAGGAGAAAGCGTTTCCAATTGGGATCAGCTGATGAAGCTGAGAAAGTGGCGTTAAGGGGTCTTGAAGATGTGCTCCTGGAGCCACCGAAACCTGCTTCAGAGAAATCTACTTGAAGAGGTTCAATTACCTACCTGACTTAACAGGCGATTTTCTTGAAGGGTATTAAAAAAGAGTCTTCGTTGTTGTAGGCTCGACCAAAGAAAACAGAGATGTAATTGAATGGTTCCAGAAGAACTACCCAAAGAAGAACAATAATTTTGCAATTCACAATATCCAGGATAAGCCCAACACTGGTGTTTCTTCTTGGTTATTGAAACATGTGAAGGAGGAGGACTAAGTTGTAATGAAAGTAGAAGCAATGGAAGTGGAAAAGATGATAAAGAACTGAGCAATTGGATGAGCGCTTCCTAGAGTGCAAAAATGAATGGTGGCATGAAGGGAAAAAGAAGAATAATGGCCGAGCATACTGGGAATGCTTGGCGTTGCATGGAAGATTGAGGGATGAAGGAGTTGCAGTGCACCAATGATGGGGTTTACGCAGAGATAACTAGACACGAAGATACACCACGGGTCTCAAAACATTGCTTGTATACTTCTTTTTTTTTGGAGGGGCATTAAAAATGAATTAACATATTCATATATACAAAAACTCTCATGTTAAACGGATATATGACATCTTTTATTAATTCATTGAAGTTCAGTCAGTATACTTTTATGTTATGAATGTATAAATAATTCTTCGCCAAATTTTTCATCAATGTTCTTTTATAAAAGCGCAAGAAATCAAAGCTGCAAAGAAAGACTATAGTATGCTATTGCATATATATCACGGGCAATGCAAATAGTTTTGTTTTGGCTGAAGAGAAATGACATGGATCAAGGAGAAGCAAAAGATATAATAATTTGATAGAATAGTTTATTTTTGGGAGATTTTTTATCGTAACTTTAAGAAAAAATTTCTGGGAGTTGTTGCAATTTTTTAAGGATAAAGTTATTTATATTTCCGAGAAAAACAAAAATGAAATGTGAGGGGACAAACTCCTTCCTGTGGCTCCCGTGTATGCGTCTCTGTTGATGTATGAGTTTGGCTAACACAAGAAATTACAATCTCAATCTCTAGTAAATTGAAATCAAAAGCATGAATTATTTTATTCAATACCAAATACTACAATAAACATCAATAACTAATAATTAATGATATGCGAAGTATTCTACAAATAAGACTGTGAAATGTTACAGCACACTTTCAAATTGTGGCTTGTTATTAGGATCAAAGGAAGAATAGAATGACGACTTGTTTACGCATGAATATGTCTGACAGATTTTTCGTGGGGTTCTAAAATTGAGTGCAACTACGTTACCTACTATATGCCTTTTTTTCCTTCTCCTTGCGTACGTTGAAAGAGTTTATTCCTTGTTCACAATAAATGAGCAGATGAGAATGTTGGAACCATCTCCTCCATACAATAAATGGTAAAAAGTGCAGGAGTCAAATTTTGTTCAACAGACAAATCGACAATATGATTATTTTAGTATATGATACTCTGAAAAGGCTGCATTTCTAAGTAAAAGTTTATCATTGTTCAACAATAATATTCAGATAAGAAGTTGAGCTACCACTTCTGAGGGTCGCACCACGTTTCCTTCCTTCGTATGCCTATCAACGTGCTGCTGCATCATCTATAAAAGGCTCACATGTCTCACCTCAAAATCACAATCACAAGAGCATCGAAAACATTTGCAAGCCTTAGTAATTAAGATCAGTTGCTGGAAACTCCAATACCATGGCTTCTCGCATTTCATCATTCATTTTACTGCCACTTCTGCTTCTGAGTTTCTCTCCAATTACCAGCCATGTGATGGTTGAAGGGGCAAGAATTCTTCTCGAATCCTCTTTGCCAGAGCCAAAATTACCTGAGTTGCCTCCACTTCCTAAGCCCGAGGTGCCTCAAGTGCCTGAGCTGCCTAAGCCGGAATTACCCCCCGTGCCAAAAGTTGAGTTGCCACCATTTCCAAAGCCAGAAATACCTAAAGTTCCTGAAATTCCTAAGCCTGAATTACCTAAAGTTCCAGAAATTCCTAAACCAGAGATGCCAAAAGTTCCCGAAATTCCCAAACCAGAAATGCCTGAGGTGCCAAAGATGAAAGTACCAGAAATTTCTAAACAAGAGCTGCCAGAGGTGCCAAAGCCAGAAGTGCCTAAAATCCCAGAAATTCCCAAACCAGAATTGCCCAACGTTCCTGAAATTCCTAAGCCTGAGTTACCAAAAGTTCCAGAAATTCCTAAGCCAGAGATGCCTAAAGTCCCGGAAATTCCCAAGCCAGAGTTACCAAAAGTTCCAGAAATTCCTAAGCCAGAGTTACCAAAAGTTCCAGAAATCCCAAAGCCAGAGTTTCCTCAACTTCCTAAGGTTGAGATGCCACCATTGCCAAAGCCTGAAGTGCCTCAAGTTCCTGAAATTACAAAGCCCCACTAAACTGTTTGCACGGTTTACTTCATTGTGTTGGCTGGGGTGATATCGAGCAGCTGTATGCTAGCTTATACTATATGATAAGTTTGTAGTAGTTATGTGATTATATTTATTATTCTGCCAATCTCATTGGCTCTATTGAGCTCTATTTGTACTATGTCATTAAATAACACGTTTTGTTCGTTTGTTTTATTTATTCTGCCAATATTGGCTCTTTTGATTCAGAATTTGTGGTTCATCATGCAGCAGACCGCAGTCCTTGGTATAGTCAAGTTCAATTCAAAGAGTTAAATGCTGGATCAGTTTGAACTTCCCCTAATTAAGCCTACAATTTTGAAGCGTGGATTTCACCTCCTATAGCCATGCTAAATAAACAAAGTTAAAATATGCCCGTATTGTTTTTCAAAACGATTGCTGCCTGATAATGGCGACATTAATTTTTTTGTTACTTCCTTAAGATTTTTAGGCAAGCTTATCCGCAAATTTATATGACAAACAATAATATTTGTTTTTTTAAAAATAAAATTAGCTATTAATACTCTTGGAAATTACGAAATCAATGAAATTTAATCAAAGCTTGGGTTGAAACAGAAGTATATTGACTGATTAAGAGATTGATGAGTTCTTATTTGGGTTGACTTGTTTAGGTGCTTATAAACACGTTTGAAATAAAACTTTTCTGACATACTTATGTCGTATTTTGTAAGTCACAATTAAAAAATTATTTATAAATATTAATATTTCTAAATGAGCCCCTGAGACTAATCAGAGTTGAGTTATAAATCTTTTGACTTTTGACCATAAAAACTTTATTACCTTCTTTTTTTTGGGCCAACTACTTTATAATATACCTTCAAATCAAAGGACAATTTTAAACTGCTTATGGCCCAGTACAAAATTCCTTTGCAATTATCATGTGGCCCTTTTGATCTAGGTTTATGTAGATGAATATGCATTTATATCTGTGTCAATATAAAATAATGTAGACAGATACCATGCATGCACACATGTACACATGTATGTGTTTGAATTTAAATAAGTAAAATCAAATTAAAATATCAGTATGACTCATACAAAGATGATATAGAGTTGAACTAACCCGGTCACGTTTTAATAAGATCGACAATGGAACCCACCCAAACACCGGGGCTAAAAGAACTTGGTTTGTGAATTGTGATAACCATAATTAGAGTTTGATAAGAGGCAGGGTAACCGATATAATTTATATTACTTTACTTTAACCTTTACTATAAGATTTTTTTTATGTTTTCCAATATAATATTATTTATTCCAAGCATTATTTTGTTAAAATATCTTTTGCCTGGATACTTTTAACTAACTGAAAAAATATCCTAACTAATTAGTTAAGCAACATCCTCTAATTAGTACATTTCAATTGATATTAATTGTGGATGGCATAGGATTTCCTTCGAGGGGAGGATTTCCATGCCCCAAAAAAAAAAAACACTTGTGGATGGCTCATGCATGTGGACAAGACAAAACGTAGGTAGGTCCTGCCAACGTATCCCCAGGGGGTTGTTTACGGATGGCATATTATATCATAATTACGAAAAAGCTCTATATAAACTTCCAAGTGTGGGTGGTCGATTCCTTTTTTGCCCCCCGGGTGAAGTTCATCGTGCTTTGTCCTCTTATTGCACTGTTATTCCCTCTAATAATTAATTTTCTAAAATGATACCTATTTTTTTATGTTTAAACTTTAAACCCCACTAAAATATTTTTCAAAAGATTGATCAGGGAAAAATTATATGAAGCCTAATAATATGAACGGAGAAAGGTTGATTTGATATAAAAAAATAAAAATAAAAAGATGCAAAGATAAATTTATACAGAATTTGAGAGGATTTAATTATTTTAAAAAGGCTACACTAGCTTGTGAGTTTGGCTCTGTTCAAATAATATTTAGGTGAGAAGTTAAGCTAACAAATTAACACGAGGTGGCGTTGAACCAACTCATCCTTCATAGCTATCCAAGCGTGCTGCTCCTTCATCTATAAAAGGTCCTCATATATCATTCCAAAATCATAATCATAAGTATAGCAAATCCCCAAAACCAATCGGAGTAACAAGTTGGAAAACCGATTACTATGGCTTCCCACAGTTTTTCTTCATTCACTCTATTATTACCCCTTCTGCTTTTGAGTTTCTCTTCAATAACCAGCCATGTAAAGGTTGAAGGGGTGAGAATTCTTCTTGAATCATCCTTGCCAAAGCCAAACTTACCTGAGTTGCCTCCTCTTCCTAAGCCAGAGTTACCCCATGTGCCTAAGGTTGAGTTACCACCATTTCCAAAGCCAGAAATACCTAAAGTTCCAGAAATTCCCAAGCCAAAGGTTCCTGAAATCCCTAAACCAGAAATGCCTAAAGTTCCTGAAATTCCCAAACCCGAGTTGCCTGCGGTGCCCAAGATAAAAGTACCAGAAATTTCTAAACAAGAGTTGCCCGAGATGCCAAAGCCAGAAGTGCCCAAAATCCCAGAAATTCCTAAACCAGAATTGCCCAAGGTTCCTGAAATTCCTAAGCCTGCCTTACCAAAAGTCCCAGAGATTCCAAAACCAGAGATACCTAAAGTCCCAGAAGTTCCTAAGCCCGAGATGTCTAAAGTACCAGAAATTCCAAAGCCTGAGTTACCAAAATTCCCAGAAATTCCTAAGCCAGAGATGCCTAAAGTTCCGGAAATTCCAAAGCCGGAGTTGCCTCATCAACTTCCCAAGGTGGAGCTGCCACCATTGCCAAAGCCTGAGTTTCCTGCTGTGCCAAAGCTAGAAGTTCCTGAGATTCCGAAACCCCACTAAACCATTATTTCTTAAACAAGCACATTACTTATTCCCTTCCCTATATAGCTTGTATTGTCTGACGTAATAAATGGGTTTATACTGTTCTTGTGTGTCATTATTTATTAATATCTCTTCAGTGTAATTTGTTGTTACATCTTCCCACAGTGGTGATGTTGTAGTTTGTCATCATTATTTGATGAGTTCGGTTGAGTCAATGTTATTACTTGAGCTTCTTGTTGCTTGTCCACGTATTACTGGTTTAGTTTATACTGTATACCTGTAAAGACGAAAGAGGATACACACAGATGGATTTTGAATAGATGATTGTGGGTACATTGCCAAAAATCGTATCATAAATTATCTATGCATCGGTCCATTACTAAAAATTACGAAATCGAAATATCTCTAATTTTGTTTAACATTGGCAAAAAGTTCTTCCACATGAAACCGGATTAGTTTAATAAACGCCACCATCACGCTTGTTGGGAACTCCAATCGCTGGAGTTTTATATGCATCACCTTTCGGGGACAATCCTATTTGATAAACTTTTGGAAAGTCAGAATCTAGTTTGGCATTTGATGAATGGTTTTTCTTCTATCTGTATCTCCTTCCCCTGCTCGTTTCCATCTTTAGATTTTCTTCTTAAATAGCAGTAGAAGACAATTCCTTCTTTTGTGATTCTCTTTGGGCAGACGCGCCCGTAAAAATGCAACATCCATTAAGAACCGACCAGTCACGCCCGCAAAATAAGGATTACTGTACACTAATACAAATGTGGGGACCTTATCCATGATAAATTTTAAGCCAACAAAAAAAAATAGCAACACGCTTCTAATGCTCCATCTATAATAAGGATTTCTATATTTGATTGATTAAAAAAAACCGCGCAATTAATAAGGAAAGCAAAGAGCCTCTTAGTTTCATAAAAGATATGCTCAAATTAACAACAACGGAGGCATGGGAAAGATAATGGTAGAAAGTACAACTAGAGTTACGTTACTGTTAATGGCTACCTTGGCTATTACTGTTCCATGCCTCGTCGACGCTAACATCGGAGAATTCGATTATTATCTCCGAGGAAAAGCTAAGGAGGCCCGGAGAGTTGCTCTTGAAGCATATGAACCAAACCCTTTGAACGTCACTTCAGAGCTCAATATGCACGTTCATCTGTACGTAAGCTCTTGTACGTAATTGGTTTTGAATAGGAAACTTTAGGTTTTCTTTAGTTTTCACAATAACACGTAATAAATGGGTGATGCAGAGCGATGAATGAGGCCAACATGTCCACCAATACCAGAGGGAGGGACCTGGGGGAGAGGAAACGCAAAGGACATTGCCTGACTACCAACCCAATCGACCGATGCTGGAGATGCGACAAAGACTGGGAGAAAAATCGCTTCAATTTAGCCAAATGTGCGATGGGTTTCGGCCGCAAGACCACGGGCGGGCTGGGTGGCAAGATCTACGTCGTGACAGATTCTTCCGACGACGACGTAGCTAACCCGAAACCCGGAACTCTGAGGTACGGGGCAATTCAGAAGGAGCCATTGTGGATCATATTCGCATACAGCATGGTGATCAAGTTGAAACAGGAGTTGCTGGTGAATTCCGACAAGACAATCGACGGACGTGGAGCTAATGTTCAGATAAAGAGCGGCGGCGGCCTCACTCTACAATTCGTCAACAACGTCATCATCCACAACCTTCGCATTCGCAATATCAAAGCTAAGAAGGGTGGTCTGGTAAGGGATGCCCCCGACCATGTCGGGCTGAGAACTAGAAGCGACGGTGACGCCATCAGCCTCTTCGGTTCCACCAACGTCTGGATCGATCACATTTCAATGTCCAACGCCGACGATGGGCTGGTCGACGCCATCATGGGTTCTACCGCCATTACAATATCAAATTGCCACATGACCAGGCACAACGACGTACGTAACTAATTGCTCGCTTCAATGACATGATAAATTAAGCAAATGAATTCATAAGCAAGTAAAAGAAATGAATGCAGGTGATGCTGTTTGGAGCCGGAGACGTGTATAAACAGGACCAGGTGATGCAGGTAACGGTGGCTTTCAACCACTTCGGGAACGGATTGATACAGAGGATGCCCAGATGCAGACATGGATGGTTCCATGTGGTGAACAACGACTACCATAACTGGATAATGTACGCCATCGGAGGAACGGCGAATCCGACCATACTCAGCCAAGGAAACCGATTCAGTGCTCCGAACAACGTAGCAGCGAAGCAGGTTACCAACAGAGTGAGTGCGCCAGAATCGGAGTGGCAAAACTGGCCGTGGCAGTCGGAGAATGACGAGTTTGTAAACGGAGCTTTTTTCGTACCATCGGGAAAACCTATAACCACATCTATAACCCAGAGGGAGGATTTGATACCACCCAGACCAGGGATCGAAGCTCCCGAACTTGCTCGCTTTTCGGGTCAGATCAAGTGCAAGGTCGGCAAGCCTTGTTAGCATCTTTAATTTGTTTTAAGAGAATGAATTGAAACAGATTAGATTAATCCTCTAGCTAGGGCCAATCGGAGCTTTAGACTCATCACTCGTCAGTGTTCATTGCGTAGTTGAAGTTTTTATTTTGAAAAGCTCCATCTGTTTTATTTATTTATGAAATAATTTATTTATTTTATTTACATTGACGTAACCATGTTGTAATTCTAGCATGTATTTCCACGCCCCTTGTTGTACGCTGCAGGTCAACTTCGTTATTCTTATTTGAAATTAATTGTAGACTCTTTTTGGTGTAAAAATTTCTTATTGATTTGAAAATTTCCCCCAGTTGTGCGCGTATTCGATCCAATTTAATGAGTGGGACCAAATACAATATTTACGTGTGTATTGTTCAAGCGTATTTACAAATTATATGATTGAAGATAATTCTTTCCAAAAAGTTCTTTCTTCAATCAATATCGTCATTATGTGTTGGTAAAAAAAAAATGGATTTTTATTGTTATGTAAAAAAGATGAATTTTATTACGGGCCAAAAAAGATGAATTTTATTGTCAACATCATTAAAATCAAATATAAGATTTGTTTGTTACCATTTTATGTTGGTGTGAGTGGTACATATGGACCGTTAAAATTAGGAGTGAATTGGAAGAGATGTTTTTTTTTTTTTTTAAATCTAACACATATCCACCTATAGGTAAAAAAATTGAAGGTTAATTATATACAGGAAAAATTGGCCCTATAAAGTCAAGAAGCCGAGTAATTATTATATGAAGTTAATTTTACTGTGCATTTTTTTCTCTCCCATATTACGTAGTGTTTGAGTTTTCTAAAGGAAGATAAAAATCACATAATTTGCATATATAGTTGAATGATTTTAAGGAGTCCATTTTTTCATACGTATGCTGTGACCTTTTTTTTTTTTTTTTTAAATCCCCTTAGAGTCCGTGCTCCAAAGACTTATCATCATTCCTGTTGGTAGCATCATATCTAAACATATATTCCTTGTAACTTCTCTAATTAACGCTCTCCTGTAATCAAGGGACCTTCCATCAGCAAGTTTGACAGAAAGACAAGAGGATATATATGTGTGTTCAACATCGAACAGCACAGAATTAACGGACACTACTATTATTTTTGAAGCACTTGATGATATTAATATTAAAACTTTTTCTGACATTGCATGAAACTGCAATCTCCGCTGATCAAAACTTCAAAACTGGAATATAATGAACCAAAACTTCAGAACTGGAATGAACAAAAAGTATATTTGAAAGGGAGATCGGATTGAATATGTGTGTGAGTGTGGTAGTTGGGCCTGATAGAAGCACGTATTTGCTATATTCCAGCCAGTATACTTGGCAATTTGGAAAGTAGAACAGATAGTTAGACGATACCAGTCTCTCAGGTTGCCGACAACTAAAAACTACATCAATATCCAACTGAAAATAACAGGATTACAGATTAAATGTTTTCTATTATTGCATTATATTATAGGCACCGTCGGACCCGAATCTACCTTCAAGGGTAGGGAAACGATGATTCTGATTATTAAGGAACTCAGAGACCAGCAGCAAAACGCTTAGGCCGACCATTTCATATGCCTTTCATCTATTTTCATGCATGTTTTAGACTTATGATGAACGATATTTCATGTATACATAGAATAAATTTCTAAATTAATTTAACAGGTATTTCTTATAAGCCATAGCATCTGTAACGTTTTCTCATGGACCAAGGTGGGTCCAGGTGGACTCTGTAGGTGATAAATCTCTCTCTACTTGGACTGTCTTGGACCGCCGAGAGAATCTTGGAGTCTTGGAGTCTGATAAAGAAATAGCCACTACTT